ACTTTAAAAACCACGTCATTTGAGTGAAAACCACGGCTAGCCAAGTTTATGCCGTTTTGAATGATTTTTGTCAAACGACCAAAAGCGAAAGACGGTTTTCAAAGTGTTTTTGTTGGAGAACCGTTTAAACATGCCAAAGAGTGAAAACCAATCATAAAGAGTTGAAAACCACTTGGTTGATTCGGACGCCAAAAACCAATGCCGATAACCGAAAGCCGAACGCCGGTTTCTGAAACCCGAACGCCGGATGGCTTGGTTTTTGGTTTGGGCGAACACCAAGTGTTTTTAATGACTTAAACCAGTTTGAAAAACATTTTTATGATGTAAGAAATGCAATGAAGGATTTTAGCCTAAAGAGCCAAGGTGTAAAGATTGGGTCGGTCTTGATCACAATGAAGACCGACTCAACGACACTAAGACTACGGTCTTCGTTCTTGGTCTTCTTTTTAGCTCTTGTTCTTGTCTTCCTTCTTCGCCTTATATATTCAATGTTTTGACTTGATCATGGCGGTTTGGCATTATCAAAACCTGTTACAAAAACGAACACGACTTTAGTACGAAAACGTGACAAGCCCGTGTTTCAACAGCCGGGCTTCGGGTAAGTGATGCCAAAGGCTCATTCGTAAGCACAACTGTCTGGTGGGCCTGAAAGTACGGGGTTAACCTCTTCGCTGTCCAGAAGACTGCCAACATAGCTTTTTCCGGACGGGAATACCTCAACTCCGCATCTCTCAGGGTCTTGCTGATGTAGTAGACCGGATTTTGGGCCCCATTCTCTTCCCTCACGATCACAGTACTTATAGCACAATCCGCAATTGCTAAGTATAAAGTCAAGACATCTCCAGGCTCCGGCTTAGATAGAACTGGTGGACTTGCGAGATATCTCTTCAATTCTTCGAATGCTTCTTGGCATTCCTGTGTCCATTTGAAGGTCGCCCTCTTTTTTATCACTGCAAAGAATGGGTGTGCCTTCTCTGCCAGTTTTGAAAGGAAACGATTCAAGGCTGCCAACCTCCCTGTTAGCCGTTGAACCTCCTTTGCTATCTTCGGGGGTTCCATCTCCATGATTGCCCTTACTTTCTCCGGGTTTGCCTCAATTCGTTTCCGGCTTACCATGTGCCCAAGGAATTTCCCACCTTGAACAGCAAAGGTGCATTTCTTCGGGTTCAATCTCAGATTTACCTTCATCATGATTTCAAAGACCTCCTCAAGGTCCCGGACATGGTCTCGGGCCTCTTTGGACTTGACAATCATATCAACAACATATGCTTCCATGGTCCGTCTTAAGACAGCCCTGAACACCTGCGAAACCATCCGGGTATAGGTTGCCCCGGAATTTCTAAGTCCAAAGGCCATCACCAAGTAACAGTACAACCCTTCTGGGGTCATAAAGCTTATTTTTTCAGCATCTGCCGAGTGCATCCGGATCTGATGATAGCCGCTGAAAGCGTCCATGAAGCTCATTAACTCCGACCTGGCAGTCTCATCAACCATCTGATGAATGTTGGGGAGTGGAAACGGATCCATGGGGCATGCCTTGTTCAGATCTGTGTAGTCGACGCACATCCTCCATGAAGGTGGCTTGGGCGCTATGACTACATTCGCCAACCAATCCGGGTATTGCACCTCCCGGACATGCCCAATGCTCTACAGGGTTGCTACCTCCTTCTTCACAAAATCTCTTCTTTCCTGTGATAAATGCCTTCGTTTCTGCTTCACTGGTTTAGCATCTGGTAGCACATTCAGGCGATGAACTGCTATTTTATGGTCCAGCCCTGGCATATCAGCTGGACTCCACGCAAAGACCCTTCTGAACCTTCTAAGGACCGAAATCACTCGTGCTCTGAGTTCAGCCCCCAGGTCCTTGCAAATCCTGACCAACCTTCCCGGCGTGCCTGGCTCCAGCTCCACTTCTTCAATGTCGCCAGCCACTTCTACTCTGGGACGTTTCTCCTCAGCCCTCAGGAGTTGCGCAGTCACCTCTCCCACTTGGGTATCGTACTTGACCGGTTGTTTGGTTGCCTTCAAATACCATGCCGGGGATACTCTGTGAGATCCCCTGGCAATTCCAACTCCGTGGGGGGTTGGGAATGTTATGCAGAGGTGACGAGGTGAGATGACACACTCCAAATCTTCCAATCCGGGTCTGCCCAGGATAATATTTGTGCTGGAGATTATCCCCACCACGACAAACTCCATGTCCAGCTTTCGTGTGGCCTTAGTATCCCCTATTTCAACCGGGAGGGTTATCACTCCCTCCGGTTCAATAGAGTCACCAGTGAACCCGGTCAGTGGAGTCTTGATGGGTGATAACTCGTCCCTTGTCAAACCCAAAGCCTTGTACGTATCCATATACATGATATTAACGGAGCTTCCCGTATCCACTAGGGTTTTGTGGATCAGCAAGTCCATTATATCGATTGTAATCACTAGGGCATCCCTGTGGGGGACCCCTGTCTCTGGAAGATCAGCATTAGAAAATACAATAGGCTCGATTTTCAGCTTCTTACCTTCCGGGACCAGCACCTTGTTGACCAGTGCCGCATTTGCCCACTTCTTCCGGCTTGTGGCCGAGTCCCCACCAGTATTCCCTCCAATGATGAAGTTACACCCATGGTGTCTCTTCTGGCGATGCGGTGCGGGTTCCGAATCCTCCTCTTCGTCTTCAAGCCCGATGTGGCGTTTCTCTCGGGCCTCAGCCTGGGCCACTTCCTTATCTCTGTGCTTTCCATTCTGAGCATTTCCGGGATTCCCGGTGTCACCATCTTGTACAAACTTCTTCAGATGACCCCGGCGGATCAGCCTTGCCATCTCATTCTTCAGAGTATAACAATCTTCTGTGTTATGGTCATTCTTGCGATGGTAGGCACACCATTTTCCAGTGTCTTCCACATTGCAGACCTTCTGAGAATAGGTTGGGTAAGTCATGAGTCCCTGCTGTGCAGCGTGGGCCATGACCTCGGCCACCGGCAATGTGAAGACTGGATTGGCGGATTTATGCTTCTCCGAGGTCCCAAGACTTGCGCCCTTTGGGCCATCTGGGAAGCCTTGCTTCTTATTCTTGAACGGCTTCTTATTTCCCGTCTTCTCTTCTTCTTTAGGAGTCACGTACCTCCCCGCCCGGACCATCGCTTCTTCGAATGTATCCGGGGGATGAGTAGTGAGATCAGTGTGAAAGAGCCCATCCTGTAATGCCGCTGTGAACATAGCCAACCTGGATTTATCATCGGTTCCTTCAACCTCCCTAGACTCTTTCCTCCATCGTATAAGGAAATTCTTCAAGGATTCTCCATGCTTTTGTCGTACTGAAGCCAAGTGAGTGAAATGCTTCTTGGGACGGTAGTTCCCGGCGAAATGCTCTAGGAACCGTAGTCCCAACTCATCCCATGTTTGGATTGATCCGGCAGGGATATGGTTGACCCAGTCTGCAACCTTGCTATCAACGGTCTGCAAGAAGCACCGACACATGAGTGCGTCACTGGCGTCCACGGCGATCATCACCTGGACATAGCTATTTATGTGCTCTTGGGGGTCTGACTCGCCGTCATAACGCTTAACAAATGGCATTTTGAATCCCTGTGGATATGGTTCCGCAAAGATCTCCGGAGCCAAGGGAGTATTTGTTCGGGTTGTGAATACTCGACCCTTGTTTATCTTCCTCTGCATCTCTTGGATCTCTTGCCTCAGATCTTGGAATTCACCAGCTTCCGGCGCCGGCAGCCCCAGACGGCGTGGTGCTGGGACCCTGTCTTGGCTTTGCACCTCATCCTCCTCCAGATCCCCCAATGACCGGACCGGCACTTGGCTCAAACCACGGCCGTTCCGCTGCCGAGGTTCACGATTAGAAGACGCCACCTGGCTCGCCTGGGGTCGTATCCAACCCTGGGGTGCCTTCTCCGGATTCTTGCCCAGCCTCTCACTAACGTGAGCTTTCTGGCGAGATATCCTTTCAAAGACAGATCCCCGCGGGTTTTCGTTTCCATCGCAGATGATCCGGCTTGCATCGTTAGCCCGGCCTTCATTCACCTTGTTATTCCGGGCCAATTCCTCCGCCCGGCGTCTGTCAATGGCTTGCCTCTCCCTTTCAACGTCCTCCGGATCATGGAGCTCCTAAAGGATGGGAGAACTCGCAGTACGCAAAACCAGGCGAGGTTGACCGGTTGGGATGTCCCGGGTACCGGATGGACCTGGAAGAGCCTTATCCAATCGCTCCATAATGTTAGCCATCATGTTAGCCACATTATTTAGTGCTGTTTCCAACCCATTGACAGGAACGATCATACCCTGTTCAGGGTTGTCACTCCTCACCGTCGATTGGGCGGAAGCAGCAGGGTTACGTCTCGTCCTTCGTCCGGCCATAATCTCACAGCCTTATCTCACAGTAAACTCTCAATGGAAGCACCAATGATGGGATTAACCCGATCAGATGGCGGACCAAGAACGAAATATGAATTTAAGGAGATATAATCACTCGATAATATTCTTTGATTGTGTATTCAATTGTCGTGTGGTGTCTTACAATGGCGGGTTTTTCCCCCTTTTATAGTCTTTCTCATATCATAATTAAAATTATACAAAATGGAAATGGATTATGGAGATCATGGGATTATGATTCCCTCTTTTCCGGTCTCGTTCTCTTCCCACTCCGCATATAGCCTCATGATGTGGGCCACGTGTCCCACTCCTTTCTTGGACTGGGTCACTTCAATTCATTCCATGACTGGGCCGTCTTCCTCTATCCGTCATCTGCGCAATATTGGGCTCGGCCCATTGTCTCAACCGATTTTCCACCTTTTCGGGTTATTACAGGTCTCCCTTTGGGCCTGGAGTCGGGTCTACTAGACCCGATATCCATCAATATGTATATTTAGTTTGGAGTTGGAAGAGATAAAATAACCAGAAGGAGACAACCGGATGCAATCATGGCAAGCTGAGGATTTGTTCTCCATATTTTTCTTCTTCCAAGGAAACACTGCAAGTTCCAAAGTTTAATACATAATACTCCCTGTGAAAGTAATTATGAAGGATGGAGCGTAATTTATAAGGCACAACTGACCAAATTACACAATGAAAAAAATTAATGCTTTTATATTGATTTTCTATATAAAAAAATATATTCCAATGTTACACTATTTTATTATTCCACATAAATGATTGTTCTATTAAAATTAGTGTGATCACAAAACTTAAAAAAGAAACAATGGAACAACACTAATAATAAATGACTCATATAGTAAACAATGGTTTCTAAAATAACCATTGAAGCCTTTAATAAGGACCAATAGGATAAGGTTTAAAGTGATAGTGAGTACTTCCATATAGGAAGAATGAATGTCAGAACGTTACTTTAAATTTTTATACGGACCTAAGTCATCAAACTCCGTGTCCAAAAGTGCAAGTTGAAGCTTGAGTCATTGTAGTTGTCCTCTGGTTAAAAGTGCAATGGATGGTGGCTTATGCTACCGGGACACTTTATGACGAAGAAGACCTCTGGCCTACGCAGCAAATGCCTGTACTTGAGCTTGAAGTTGTTGACCGATGGCATACATCCCAAGCGTTGTTGCCATCGCAAAGACACCAAGCATCAATCATAGCTACAAAATAATAATGTTTTATCATAATTGTTTTTTTAAGAATTTCAATCTAATAAAAGATCAGAGAAGAGTTAGTACGAACCAGAAAATTCAGTGTCATTTGTTGTGTGTTCAAAATCATAGACAACAAGAGAACTGTTAGAAGAGAAAAATTAGCATTATATACAGAAATGGTGGAGTGGAAACACAAATACAAATCATGCTAAAATATATTTTAAGTCAAAGATATCAGTTAAAGGAAAGAAAGAGAGTTTGTAACACCCCAACTCGAATAACCCAATTACTTAGATTATTTGAGCCGGAGTAGTTACCATGATGGTAAATACGCATGATAATTTGAAGGATAATTTTAAACCAATTTAAACTTTAACATAAATGATAATTTCAAATATTAAATTCAGAGTATTGCTGAAACAGTGCGGAAGCTTAAATATAAAACACAATCAAATTGTTTTACATTTTCTGGGTACTCGCCCGAAAAGGTATTTATTTAATTAAAACATCATAAATGTGGTCCACCAGTCCGTACATCTCTTCACTCTCATTGACCTCCGGGATGGGCTCCATGACCGGTATCGTTACCTACGTGTAGCAAGTAAAACAAACTACACGCTTAGCGTTAGTTGAGGAATACGCTAATACAACAATTCCAAATTGAATAGCAAGTAGACATATAATTATTCATGATGTGACATAATATAGCATATATGTTCAAGATGATAGTGATACGTAATGGATGTCATGCATAGTCATAATGATTGCACTTGCTTGATGATGAATTCATGCTGTATGATTCTAGGTCACAAGGACAAGCCTTGAACTATGAGATTCGCCCATTTTGCACGACGAACTCACGCAGAAATAGGGGTGGTACTCGAAAACCTAAGTACCATGTACGTACACTAAGCCCGGTCCGTGATGTCGGACTGCTAAGTCCCGCACAATCACAACTACAAGAGACGCACTTCCGCCTGATCTCTTGCGCATGCACATGATGTGATATGTTTCAATATGGATGATGAAATGAATCACATGATATGAACAATTTGTAAACAACATGATTGGATAAATATACTTTATTTTATTTGGATGAAANGGTGGTACTCGAAAACCTAAGTACCATGTACGTACACTAAGCCCGGTCCGTGATGTCGGACTGCTAAGTCCCGCACAATCACAACTACAAGAGACGCACTTCCGCCTGATCTCTTGCGCATGCACATGATGTGATATGTTTCAATATGGATGATGAAATGAATCACATGATATGAACAATTTGTAAACAACATGATTGGATAAATATACTTTATTTTATTTGGATGAAATATGATAAAAATATCATTTAATTAAACTACGAGGCTCGAAATGGTCGACCGTTTGGCGGGACGGTCGACCTTGAACTTCATCGCGTCGGGCTGGAGAATTACCGTGACGGTCGACCGCGGTTGACCAGCGGTCGACCGTTGTTGACTGGAGGTGGATGGCGGTACTTGGCTGGGCAGGCGACGGTCGACCGTTGGCCACTGGCGGTCGACTGTTTGTCTGACAGTCTTGCTCCGTTTCGATTTTTAACGCAACGGTTGACCGTTTTTGTCGACCGTTCGGGTCTGCGAATCCTATTTTTGATATTTTTGGATATCTAAAATACTTCTTTCAGTTATTTTAACACTTATGATTAACATATCTATGTATTTGAAGTATTCTTAACATTTATATTTTCATTTAAGGTGAAGTATCAAGAAAAACATATTTTTACTTTATGAGTCTAATGAGTTTGATCTTAAAGCACAAATGACTTATAATATGGCAATCAATCCTAACGATATATCTAGATTGATATTCAACCAAGGATTGCTTTACTAAGGTGCAATGTACTCGCCTTGATATCGTAGAGGTCGGAAAAATAGAAAGATAATAATACGCCTCAACGAACGTTCAACGTACGGTCGCCCCTATCAACTTCGAGCTTCCCACGTTCAATCTTCTTGGGAATAATCTCCGGAAGTTCCTAATAACCACGAGAGAATTGACGGTAAGTATTTGGAAAGAAACGATATGAAAACGATGAAGAAACATGGCCAACCCGAGGAGCTCTCCACCACTGGAGCAGTCCCGGTATTTTGGCCATATCTCCTTCGTTACTTAACGAAATCGCGATCCGTTTGTTGGGTTGGATTCGTAACATCCGGGGCTACGATTTTGGTATAATAAACATTTTGAGAAAATGAACGGAAAATTTCAGATTTGACTCACAAGTAGACTGATTGTTTTGTGCTCAGGATTTTGGAAACCTTGATGCTTCTTCTTGTTTCTTCTTCTTCTTCTTGGCTCAACAATGGAGATGAATTAAGTGGATTCTTCCCCCTTCCTGAACTGCCGACAGAGAGAGAGTGAGAAAGGAGAGTGGATATTCGTGAAGTGAAATGAGAATTTGCAAAGTGGAAGGAAATTTTTGGAGTATTATATTGGAGATTATATTGGATTGTGGATGTAGTGGGTTTCCTAGCATGTTCCTAGGGTGGCCTAATTGGAGACTTTGGAGATTTGGGTTACGTGATTGGGAGATTTGGGGAATAAAAATATATTCTCCTACTCCACAACTGATAAACTGGCTAAAACAATACGCGCTTTTTTGCCCAAACTATTTCAAATTTCAAAATGGATCGCATTTTTGGAATCAGACTGTCAAAACTAAAATTTTGATATAATCAAATTATTTTTCTGAAAACTTTTATTTTTCAGTGTTCGGGTCTGTCTCAGTCATTAATTAATATTTAAATTAATTAATTCTTTTAGGCCTAATTTCGAGGCGTTACAATTCTCTCCCCCTTAAAAATAATTTCGTCCTCGAAATTACCTGATTACTGGTCACTGAAAAGTTGTGGATATTGAGATCGCATGGACTCCTCAGTTTCCCAGGTTGCTTCTTCAACAGAGTGACTTCTCCAAAGTACCTTAACTAAGGGTACAGTCTTGTTCCTCAATTCTCGAACTTCTCGTGCAAGGATCTCTACAGGTTCCTCTTCATAAGACAAATTCTCGTCCAGAGTGACAGTCTCTATTGGAATGATGTGAGAGGGATATGATCTGTACCTCCTCAACATCGATACATGGAAAACGTCGTGAATCTTGTTTAGTTCTAGCGGTAATTCCAACCTGTAGGCTACAGGTCCCACACGTTCTGTAACTCTGTATGGACCTATAAACCTCGGACTGAGTTTCCCCTTCCTACCAAAGCGTAAAACTTTCTTCCAAGGAGAAACCTTCAAGAATACCCTGTCACCAACAGCATATTCGATATCGCGTCGCTTGAGATCTGCATAAGATTTTTGTCAGTCTGCTGCTATCTGAAGTCGTTCTCTAATCAACTGAACTTTCTCCTCTGTTTCGCGCACGAGTTCTGGACCCTCGAGTTTTCTCTCACTCAGCTCAGTCCAACAAACTGGTGTTCGACACTTCCTTCCGTACAGTGCTTCATACGGAGCCACTTCAATACTTGCCTGATAACTATTGTTATAGGCAAATTCCATCAGAGGAAGATATTTTTCCCAATTGTTTCCAAAATCAATGACGCAAGCTCGCATCATATCTTCAAGAATCTGAATAGTCCTCTCGGACTGTCCGTCGGTCTGAGGATGGAAAGCCGTGCTGAAATGTAATTTGGAACCGAGAGCTTTCTGCAAGCTCTTCCAAAATTGGGATGTAAATCGAGGATCGCGGTCTGATATGATGGATGATGGTACTCCGTGTAGTCTAACAATCTCGTGAATGTACAGCTCCGCCAGACGCTGTAGTGTAAAATCTCGCCGAATTGGTAAGAAATGCGCCGATTTTGTCAAACAATCAACAATAACCCAAACTGCATCATTCTTCCTGGAAGATAATGGTAATCCGATTACGAAATCCATCGTAATGCGGTCCCATTTCCACTCAGGAATAGTGATCTGCTGCAGAAGTCCTATAGGTACCTGATGTTCGGCTTTGACTTGCTGACAAGTCATACACCGCGATGTGAATTCGGTAATCTTTCTTTTCATAGCTGACCACCAATAGTGTCTCTTCAGGTCCTGGAACATCTTGTTACTTCCAGGATGCATGGTATACACGGTTCCGTGAGCTTCACGCTATAAGCGATCTTTCACATCACCTGATGGTACTACCAAACGATCTCGATAGTATAGTGTGTTGGAACACGGGTTTGCGCCTTCGTCGTACTAAACTGTGTTCGTTTATGACAGGTTTTGATAATGCCAAACCGCCGCGACATATCGAAGCTAAGTGAGCAAAACTAAGGCGAAGGAACATGGCATGATGACTAGAGAACCAAGAACCCAGAATCAAGAACGAAGAACTAGAATTGTATTGAGTCGGTCTTTATGTGATCAAGACCGGCACAAAATTTCAAATCTTGGCTCTCTAGGCTTAATTCATAAAAATCTCTTTTACATATTCAAAAATACCTTTCTTAAAGTTTAAACTTGGGTCAAAACACTTGGAGTTCGCCTAAGCCAAAAACCAAGCCATCCGGCGTTCGGCTTTCAGAAACCAGCGTTCGGCTTTCGGTTTTCGGCATCGGTCTTTGGCGTCCGAACCAACCAAGTGGTTTTTAACTTTTTATAACTGGTTTTTACTTCTGGGCATATTTAAATGGTTCTCCAACAAAAACGCCTCAAAAACCACCTTCCGTTTTTGGTCGTTTAGTGAAAACCATGCAAAACGGCACGAACTTGGCTAGCCATGGTTTTCAACTAAATGACGTGGTTTTTAAGATGTTTTACTTGATTTCTTAGCAAAATGCAAT